AAAAAAAAAAAAAAAAAAAAAAAAAAAAAAAAAACCTTTCATTTCATTTCTAAGGCCCTTCCAAGTATGGTTTGAAAACCAAAGGAGGCCAGGCGAGGTGGCTCACGCCTGTAATCCCAGCACTTTGGGAGGCCGAGGCGGGCGGATCACGAGGTCAAGAGATCGAGACCATCCTGGCCAACATGGGGAAACCCTGTCTCTACTAAAAATACAAAAATTAGCCGGTGGCACGTGGTGGCACGTGCCTGTAGTCCCAGCTACTCGGTAGGATGAGGCGGAAGGATCACTTGAACTCAGGAGGCGAACACTGTAGTGAGCCCAGACTGCACCACTGCACTCAGTGCAAATAAATAAATAAATAAATAAATAAAACCAAATGAGTCTGCATTAGCTCACATCAAAAAGTTAACCCACACCTCAGCACACTTCATTAAGTGAAGCAGGAGGGCCCACGCTTACCAGCAGCTACTGCTCACTCCAGAGTGACCCCATCTTCCCTTTAAAAATCTCTGTCCTGCAGGGGGGACACCTTTCCTTGCCACTCTTGAAAACCCACTAACCTCTAAATTTTGATGACTTTTCCCTCTCCGTTCGAGTGAGTTTTCTTCCTGGTATGGAATTAACCGGGACAGGCTCAATAAATGTGTTCTCCACAAGCAATTTTCACTAAAGTACTCTTGAAAAATAAAGGTACACTAAGAGATGTGTGAAATCTTAAAGCCGGCGATCTTTTTTTCCCCAGTAAGGACCCAGGGCGCCGTAGGTGAGTAATTCATTCATGTCACCCATTTATGAGGGATGGCAAAAGACACCACCTCTTGTTCCTTTCTTAATTTAGAAGCTTTCCTTAAGTCTATCAAAGATGACTCCTGAGGTGGGAAGACGGGAGTGGTGAGGAGAAAAATTAACCTGAGGTGACTGCCTCCACGGAGTGAATAAGCACTTCAGGTCTCCACACCTGTGTCACAGAGGAAAGGCATTTGCATGTCAGGGAAGTGGACGCCCCCACCTGCCACCCCCTCCATGTCTCCCCTTGAAGGGAGCAGAAGCCTGATCTCCCCCCACTCCCTCCTCTCTCTCTTTCTCTCTCTCTCTGGGCACTTACATAAGACCCTGTAAAACTTCCAGTGACATTCACGGAAAATGTAAGCTGCTATTTTGCTCCCTCAGGAGATCATTTTAATGGACTGAGTGACAAAATTCACGGATTCTGAATTCAGCAGAAACCTGCTCAACCGAGGTACATCAGCACAGGGACAGAACAAAAAAAAAACAGATCCAACCCCATTAAACAGGGTCACCCAAGGGATGGATTCAGTGTGCAGGAGACAATCTGTTCCCTCCGAAGTGACCCATTTAAAATCAGATTGTTCCAGGGGAAGCTCATAAGTTTAATAAATTTCAAACAGGCAAGGACAGGCTTGTACAACTGACGTTCCTTAAGAGGAAGATTTAAAAGAGGATAAGGCAATGAACAAAATAACTTGTGGATACACAAAGTTTGGAGTCCTCACTCTGAAACTTCAAAAGCAATGACATTTACAAAAATATCTGGATAGCTCCATACTGATCACTCCTCACAAGCAGCTTCGCCTAATAAGAAAGGCATGCTGGCTGGGGTCCCCCCCTGCCAGTAATGCCAACCAACCACTCCGTCCTAAAGAGGGACTCGCAAGCTGTGGCTGCTCGCCCCCAAATTGCTCCAGACTGCTGG